TGAGCAATTTGATGGACTAATCCATTTATTTCCACAAGGTCCATTGGGGTGGGTACGGGGGGCCCTTGGTACTTTGCGTGTGTAACTTTTTCATCTTTGACTTTTTAACAAATTGGACAGCATATTCCGTTTTCCCGAACTTGTTTCAAATCGTTATCTTTAACGGTTTCTGAGAAAATCGCTCTTGAATTAATCCCACTTTGGTCAATTTCATAGTAATTTAAACAAAAAATAATAATAATAATTTTCCTTTCCTCTCTTTTCCATTTAAAGGATTAATTTTTATTTAATTTAATTTTTTATTATTATTTTTTAATTAAAATTAGATAAAACTTAAACAAAAAATTTTTTTGTATCATTTGAATAAAAGGTATTTTTGAGTATATTTGAAATATAGATTTACTTTACTTACTGAACCCGTTTCAGTAACTGAATACCTTTTAATATACGTTAATTAACTTTAAATTAAATAATTTTATATGTATACTTTTCACCTGGTCCTGGTGCGAATATAATAAGACGTACCTACATTGATTTGCTCCGCAATTAACCCCAAATCTTGGGCGATAGCCAGTAGATTAAGGTGCGAAATTTAAGTGCAAGTGCAAGTGAAAGTGTGTTTAAGCGGGAAGAGAAAAGACAATAAGGTAGGATTAGAAATAAAATAGTAGAGTTAAATATAAATACTGAGAAGAGTGAAGCCTCTGAGGAGTCGATCCGGGCGGACCTCTTATCGCGGTGTGATAAGGTTTTTGTAGCTTGGTAAACTGTTGAAATAAAAGTAAAGGCAGGGCTGTATTAAGAACAAAGTGATATAGATACGTAAAGATAGTGAAAGGAAATAAGTAAATCAAAATGGACAGTGACGATTATTCAACAGACGAAGGGAAAAGGAAAAGAGTTAATGATGGCCAAGGAGATATTTTTGTAAGTTCAAATACGCCAAGAACGCCTTCAAAGGATAGTAAAATAAGTGAAGATAAATTAGACATGTTAAGGCATGCATGCATTAGACATGCTGATTAAGGAATTAAAGACAGAAGTTCTTCAAATTAAAACCGAACACGTGGAAACAGGAAAGGAAATTAAAATATGTATTTTAAGGGAGAATCAAAAACTGCGGAAAGAAAATGTGGAAATAAAACATGAAAACCAAAAGATTAAAGAAGAGCTAATAGAGATCAGGGAGAAAATGGAATGGATAGAGAAAGATAAATGAAAAAACAATGTAATTATGAGTGGAGTTAAAATACGTACTGAGGACCAAAAAGCATTAAAGAACTATCCAGAGTTTAATCAAATCATATCTGAAAATAGAAATTGATATCAGAAATGCACGTAAATTAGGAGAGAGGACATGTTTAATAGACCTTAAAGGGGAAGAAGACAAAGAGAAAGTTATGAAGAATAAATACAAGCTTAGAGAGATTCATGAGGAAAGAATATTTATAAACGAGGACTTAACAAAAAAGGAACTGGAAAGAGCGAAAAAAATAAGGGGATTTGCAAAAGAAGAAAGAAATAAAGGTAGATCAGTTAAAATAGGTTATAACAAAGTTAAGGTAGATGGAGTAGAGTGGAGATGGAATAAAATCGCAGAGAAATTAGAACCTGCTCGAACAGATGTCCAAAAAAACTAGAAGAAAATATTTGGGATAGAAAGGAGATGTATAGGGCAATGGAAACGGATTATGATTTGAGGAGCAAGAAGGAAAAAGAAAAGGAGGGAAATTATGGGAAATTGGAAAAACAAAATTGGGATATAGAAGTTAAAAAAAATGTAAAGAAAAATAAGGATGGAAAAATATATGTGGCTACATGGAATGTCCGAGGCACTTACACGGAAGGCGCACTTATTAGACTGACACAAATTATGAGCAATTATGCGATAGATATTATGGCTATCCAAGAAACGAAACAAAAAGAAAATTTTACCCAAGAAATAGGAAATTACATATACTTTAACAGTGGAGCAGATGATAGGATATTTGGAGTTTTTGGTGACAAAAAAATTAAAATCGGAAATAGTAGAATTTCTGTCCATTTCAAATAGATTATGCAAATTAAGAATAAGAAGTAAATACAGGAAAATAAGTATTATTAATGTACATTGTCCAACAGAAGAAAAAGAAGAAGAAGAAAAAGAAGAATTTTATGAGAGAATTGAAGGAGTCTATAATAAAATTCCAAGATACGATGTCAAAATGGTAATTGGAGATTTTAATGCAAAGATAGGGAAGGAAGAAATATATAAACCGATTATAGGGAGCCATAGTAAGCATAATCAGAGTAATGAAAATGGAAAGAAACTTATAGAGTTTGCAACAGAGAAGGACCTACGGATAGTAACAACATTTTTCCAACATAAGAATATACATAAGGGTACATGGACTTCACCCAATGGAAAGACAGTAAACCAAATAGACCACGTAACGATAGAAAGTAAACATATTAACTACGTATTAGATGCAAGAAGTTATCGAGGGGCAGATTTGGATACAGATCACATGCTAGTGAAGGCAACGTTAAAATATAGAAAGCCGACTATAGGGCAGAAGAAAGGAAAAGTAAATAGTAAGTATGATGTTGAAAAATTAAAGGAGAAAGAAATTGTAAATGAGTTCCAAAGGAGGATTAAGAGGGAAATAACCGGAAGTGATGTAGAAGAAAAATGGCAAGAATTTGAACAAATTATGGCGGATGGTGCACAAATTTTGAAGAACGATGAAAATAATGTGAAGAGTAAGTCCTGGTTCAATGAGGAATGTAAAGAGGCAATACTTAAGAGGGAGAAAGCGAAAATGGTATTCATAAAAAATAACACGACGAATAACAGGGAACACTATGACAAATGTAGAAAAGAGGCCAAAGTGGTATGTAGAAAAAAGAAAAGGGAACACATAGAAAAATAAATGCAGAACCTGGAGGACAAATATGAAAAAAAGAGAATAAGGGAGTTTTACAGGGGTGTAAAGAACGAAAGAGGAAGAGATCAGCAAAGCAAACAATTGTTTTGTAAAGATAAACAGGGGCAACTTGTGGGAGGAAGTCAAGGAAGTGTGGAGAGATGGGCGGAGTATTTTCAAGATGTATTTGGCGTAGAAGAAGAAGAAGAAAGTGATGAAGAACATTACCTAGGACTGAATGATTACGAAGAGGTGCCAAGCAAAGAAGAAATAGGAGAAATTATTAGATCGTTAAAAAATCATAAGGCACCTGGTGAAAATGGCATAGTGGCAGAAATGTTGAAAGCGGGGGAACAGGAAATGGAAGAAAAAGTATATGACATAATAAAAGAAGTATGGGAAAAAGAAGTGATGCCTAATAGATGGAAACAATCGTTAATATGCCCCATACATAAAAAAGGAGATCGGATGGACTGCAATAATTATAGAGGCATTGCGTTGATGGATACGGTCTATAAGGTAATGGCGATAGCAATTAAAAAAAGAATAAATTTAGCGACGGAACAAAAAATTGTGCAGTATCAATGTGGATTCAGAGAAAATAGATCAACCATAGATCAGGTATTTGTTTTAAAACAAATAATAGATAATAGTATAGATCAGAATCTGCCTCTTTATATGGTATTCATAGATTTTAAACAAGCGTACAATAAAATAAAAAGATCAAAAATATACAGTTCTATGGAGAGCATGGGAATAAAAGGAAAATTAATAAAACTCATACAAATGACTCTAAACGATACGGATTACAAGGTAATGATTAATGGTCAAACGTCAAAAAAATTTAGAGTTAGGAGAGGTTTACGCCAAGGTGATCCCCTGTCAACAACGTTATTTAACATCGTACTAGACTCGGCAATCAGAGAAAGCGGAATACAAACTACGGGCACAATTTACAGACAAACAAGTCAGATAATGGCCTACGCTGATGACATCGTGATCCTGACAAGAACGAAGAAGAATCTAATTAACACAATTAAAAAGTTGGAAAGAACAACATGGAACAGAGGTGGTTATAAATGAAAACAAAACAAAATATATGAAGATAGATAAAACTCCAGAGGTTAGGCAAAACACAGGATGGTAACGGAAGGGAGACAATATTATTTTGAGGGAGTGAATAAATTTAATTACCTAGGAGTCACAATAACTATCAATGGTGAAGAAAAAATTGAAATACAAGAGAGAACAGGAAAGGGAAATAAGTGCATGGGTGGCTTACTTAGGGTATTCAGGTCAAAAAATATTTGATTTATGGATGTGAGACCTGGAAGCTTAAGGGGGCGATTTAGTATGTATATTTTTACCATGTAACAGAGCTTCAGATGAGGACACAAATCGTCGAAGAAACTAACATAATTGAATATTATTATATATCAATGTATTCGCAATGGTTCCCGCTAGTGTGTGAAATAAATTTCAATGCTCATGAGAACAGAAGAATAATTTAAATAAATGCCAAAGTACCTCAATTTTTATCATACTGTTAGTCTGTCAATATATTGGATTTACGACGGAACTAGGTCAGGCACAATAACCAAACTACTTCACCCACTAGAGCGGACACTTAGGATCGTTTGTATTTAATTTTCAGATTAATATTTATTAACAATTCTATAATTTGTGTCCTCAAGTAAGATGACAACATTTTACACACGACTCCATGTTTATTCTATACTTAAACCAGAATTGTAGTGATTTTCTATCTCAAACAAGAATTTGTAGCTATAATTAGTTTGTATACTTTGTCACAGGTGTCGCTACCCTTGAAAATGAAAGCGAAAACACAGAGTTGGCTTATTAAAAATGCGTGCTAAAATAAAGCATAAGGCATAGAAAATATAGTACTAACGTTATTACTATATTTTCTATGGCATAAGGTGGCCATATTCTTAGCCGAGAAATACTGAAATTTCTGGCGTTTTTAGGTACTGAAATCTTTAAAAGTAGAACGTGTAGAACAAAAGTAAGCACAAAAATAAAATCCATGATGTTTTGTTTATTCATTGTTACCATTTAAATTTTCCCAAATAAAATAATAACTAAAAAAAAAGCGTTTGTAAAACATGCGTTTGATGTTATCCTAACCCCACACTTTAACAATTATTTTCACGTACTTATAAATAAAAGTAAACAATTTTATATGTAGGACTAAGCAAGTAAATGTTATAAGAATATTTACATGTGGAATTATATATAAAAAAGATAGTATTTTCGTAGATTTCAGTACCTAAANCGGGTCCGGGGGCTTTTCTGTTTTTAAGTCTGCGTATTGTCAGTCTTAGTTCGTCAGGTGTTGCGGGGGGGATTATGTCATTGTCTGGCTCTCTGTCGACGCCTCGGGCCGCGCGCTCAGCCACTATCTCGAATTCCTCGTCTTCCTCGGGCAGCTGAGGCAGTCTACACTGCAGTTCCAGGCTATCGGCGAAAGCCTCGGCCTTTTTCTGGTTCGTGTAAACTACCCCCACACTACTGTGGATTGGAGGAATTTTACGGCGAGCGGTCTGTCGCAGGGCCCTCTGCGTTTTCCAGAGGCTGTTGTCTTGTGGATCCAGCGACTCCAGGTGCCTAGCCCAGTTATCCTGGGCCAGTTCATCCAGAGCCGCCTTCACCCGTCTGTTAAGTACGTTTAAGTCATGTCTGTGTCGGGGGAGGCGGGTGCGGGTGGCAAGCCGTTTCGCACGTCGTCTGTCACGTATTAAGTTTTTTATGTCATCGGGGAGGGTGCCCCGGGGGTTTGTCAGTCGGGGGACAATAGTCTCCGTCGTAGTCTGAGTCAGGGCGTTTTTAATGTCAGTCTCAAGGGAGAGGATTGCCGCCTCCAGATCATGGGTGGTTTCGATGACTGGGAGCGCCATGTTTCCTTGCATTACTGTTCGGAAACGCTCCCAGTCAGTGAACCTCCTCGTGAAGGTGCCTTCATATCTCTGTCTTCGCCCCAGATCCAGAAATATTGGATTGTGGGCGGAAGACCCTTCGTATTGGGTGGATATTTGGGCATTTAACGGTATAGATTTTAAGAGGGCAATGTCGATAACGTCGGGGCGTCCTACGGGTCCGTAATGTGTCGGTTCTGTCGGTCCGAGTATCGTCAAGTCGTCGTGTCTGTCTTGGTAATTCAGCAGGACGCGACCTCTTGTGGTCGTCGTCCCGCTGTGCCATATGGGGGACTTCGCGTTGAAGTCCCCGATGGCAATTGTCTGGGGCCAGGAAAGGATTTTGTCTAAGTCATTGTCAAGTAGTGGTAGTCTGGGTGGGTGGTAACAGGACACCACCGCAACGTCTCCATGCCGTAGCGATCTCACCGCTATCGCCACGGCCTCTGTGTTTTGAGTTTGGAGCCGTTGCAGCGGATAGTGGTCGATGCACTTCTTTACTATGAGTGCAACACCACCCCCGTTACGGTTTCTGTCATGTCTGTATATGTCATAGTCAGGGATGGAGGTACGGGATGCCTCGCTGAGGTAGGTCTCCTGGACAGCCATAACGTCTATGTTTAGACGGTTCAAGATGTCCACGAGTTCCGTTTTTTTGGCCCGGAACCCGTCAAGGTTCCAGGACGAAATTCTCAGCGAGGAGGGTTGGGAGGGCCGACGAGCCATTAGAAGTCGAATAATTTTTGCATATTCGACACCATGGTCGTCAGCTGGACGCAGAAGTCCTGAAGACGCTTTGTTGCGTCAATCAGGGCCGCCGCGCCCGGTTGGGAGGGTGTCGTGTCTGTGTGTGTGCGTGTGGTGAGGTGTTGCGTTATTGTTTTTGTGTTTTGTGTTTTTCTGGTCATGTCAGCGTATGTGCGTCCTGGGGTTGTGTTTGGGGTGGGTAGGAGGGGCTGTCTGTGTGTTTGTGTAGTGTTTTGTGTCGTGTGTGTGTCTGTGTTTTGTGTTTTTGTGTTTTTAGCTTTGGGGTACTGAGGGCACCCCATATAGCTGGCGGGGTGTGGCCCGGCGCAATTTGCACACCTGGCGGGCGTTTCTTTGGCCTTTTTGCATACGTGCGTGCTGTGGTTTTCGCCACATTTTACGCACTTTGGCTCAGCTGTGCACCGGGTCTGGCCGTGGCCGAACCGCTGGCACCGGTGGCACTGTGTGGCAACCCGCTGCTTTCGCTGCAGCTCTACTCGAACCACGAGCGAGCAGCAGCGGGTTACCTTCAGGATGTCCTCCTGGTTCTGTGGGGCCTGAACTAGGACCAGGGGCATTTCCTGTTTATTTTGACGGCTCGCCATGCGGTGCACTATTGCGCCGGGGAACCCTTGTCTTGCGAGGTCGAGTTGGACCTCACTTGGCGAAACACCCGCAGGTATTCCGCGTATCACCACCCTCAGCGTTTTTTCTTCGCTGAGGGTGAAGGTGTGGTACTCCTCGCCTTTGTCTGTCAGTGTCTTTGTCAATAGTCTGTGGTCATTAGGTGTGTTTGGGTATATGGCTATACCGTCTTTAGTCAATTTGGCTTTTGTGTAGTTAATGTTAAGTGTCGTGAGTATTTTTTGTACTTGCGTCCACCGTTCTTGCTTTCGCAAGATTACCGGGGGGACTTGTTTGGTTTTGTCTGTCTGTTTTTGTGTGTTTTGTGGGGTATTTTGTAGGGCGCTTGTGGAGGGTTTAGGTGTCGGGGGGCGCGTGTTTGGTGTTTGTGTCGTGTTTTGTTTGTTTTGTCTGATTTTTTATGTCTGGGGGCTTCGTCCTCGCTAGAGGATTCCGCTGTGTGTTTTTTGCGTTTCTCTGTGCGTGTGTGTTTAGGGGTGTGTGTGTGGGGTGTGTGTGTGTGTGCCTGTCTGGGGTATATTGTCTGTCATTTGTTTGTTGATGAGTTTGTCGAGTTTTTGGTGTAATTTAGTGGTGTTTTCGTCCGAAAGTTTAATTGTTTTTTGCAAATCGACGATTTGCTGTGTCATGTTTAGTATTTGTTGGTATTGTCGGGTGTTTTGTTCTGTCAGTTCGTGTATTTGTTGCTTTAGCGTTTCGTTTTCATGTTTTTGTGTTTGTAACTGTTCGTATAAATCTGTTTTATTGGTCATGTTTTTTGGTGAAGCGGAGACCTCTTGAAGAGGGTCTTTCGCTGTCTGTATCGTCCATGTATATGTATATGTTCTCCTCGTTTTCGGAGTCCGACATTTTGTGCGTGTATGCGTGCGTGTGTGTGTGTAGAATCTGCCTCTTTATATGGTATTCATAGATTTTAAACAAGCGTACGATAAAATAAAAAGATCAAAAATATACAATTCTATGGAGAGCATAGGAATAAAAGGAAAATTAATAAAACTCATACAAATGACTCTAAACGATACGGATTACAAGGTAATGATTAATGGTCAAACGTCAACAAAATTCAGAGTTAGGAGAGGTTTACGCCAAGGTGATCCCTTGTCAGCAACGTTATTTAACATCGTACTAGACTCGGCAATCAGAGAAAGCGGAATACAAACTACGGGCACAATTTACAGACAAACAAGTCAGATAATGGCCTACGCTGATGACATCGTGATCCTGACAAGAACGAAGAAGAATCTGCTTAACACAATTAAAAAGTTAGAAAGAACAACTTGGAATAGAGGGCTGGTTATAAATGAAAACAAAACAAAATATATGAAGATAGATATAATGCCAGAGGTTAGGCAAAACACAGGAATCAGGATGGTAACGGAAGGGAGACAATATTATTTTGAGGGAGTGAATAAATTTAATTATCTAGGAGTCACAGTGACTATTAATGGTGAAGAAAAAATTGAAATACAAGAGAGAATAGGAAAGGGAAATAAGTGCATGGGTGGCTTACTTAGGGTATTTAGGTCAAAAAACATTTCCAGAAATGTGAAAAAGAGAATCTATAAGACTGTAATAAGACCTGTGGTGATCTATGGATGTGAGGCCTGGAAACTTAATGTAAGAGAAAAAGGGACATTAGAAATTTTTGAGAGGAAAGTACTAAGGAGAATTTATGGAGGGAGGAAGGTAGGAGAAATGTGGCGAAGGAGATCAAATGAGGAGCTGATGGAAATGTACGGGGAACCATCCATAACGAATGTAATAAGGTCGCAGAGAATGAGATGGTTAGGACATGTAGTAAGACTGCCAGATGAGAGAACGACAAGGATAGTGCTCACAGGAGGTATAGAAGGTAGAAGAAAAAGAGGGAGACCCCGGACTGGATGGCTTCAAAAGGTGGAGAGAGATCTAGAGGAAATGGGCATTAGGGACTGGAGAAGGAGAGCAAGAAACAAAACTGAATGGAGGCGTATATGCAACCAAGCCATGGGCGTACTCGGCCCGTAGTGCTGAATATATATATATATTAGGTCTCGATTGGTTCACTGATCAGATAAATAAATTGCCATAACCTATACCTATTGTACGTTACAAATACGTAATAATAGATAACAATTTAACTATCCGTTTATTTAACCAAATATTAATCGAGACTTAATATATTGTCTTTAATTATTGTAATTAAATCACTGCATTTAANTATTAGTCTGTCTGGTATATTATTTGTCGGGGGTCGCAATTTTAAAGAAATGTATTCTAAAATAATGCAAATAACTGATAAATAAAGTAAAAACTTACCTGGGCATAACCCTGGCACAGGTACCTGTAACAAAGATGCCGACGGCCTCTATACTTAAGCCGGGGATTAGGTCGGTGGTTAGGAGGAAAGAAAGGGATTCTTTCCAGGTAGCCTTAATAAAGGCAGGTAGATCTTGCTCGTTGCAATGCACTTCACTTCACAATAAACACGTCTGCTCAGTTCGGCCGCTCGCTCGAGAATGATGTGACCGAGAAACACAACACAAGACGACATCCCCCTCCTTCCCGCTAACCTTTTCTGTGTCAGAGACAGCCAGGATCAAGAAACGAAGACAACGACACACCCACACACACACACACACACACACACACACACGCGCGCGCACGCACACCCACACCCACACACACACACAAACGCACACACGCACACACGCACACACACACACACAAAAGCAAGCAAGTCCCACAAAGCACCTACACCGGCGCATTCGCGGTCGGGGGTCGGGGTAAACGACACATGGGGCCCACCTACGAAGACTGTCTAAGCCTACACGAGATGAGGTATCCCCCTCGATCCCAAATCATTGAGGTTAATTTCTGGCGCGTATGGGATAATAAATAAAATTTGTCTGGCAACCCGTTTTACTCGTCTGGCAACACTGTTTATTCATTGTCATTTTTGTCTATAAATTTTGTAGTAGTAAGGTTATCTATCTTAAAGTATATTAATTATTATTGTTGAAAAATGAAGAAACAGTTTTTTCGTGTTAAACAATTAGCAGATCAAACGTTTTTAAGGTAAGTTTGAAAAGCAAAGGAATAATAAAAGTATATAGTTTTTTTACTATTTACAAAAGATAACGTAACGTAAATTATGCAAAAATATGTGTAGTTATATTTTATATTGTATACAGTACTTCTTAACAAATAGTATAGTTCATATTTAAAGAAAAGTTAATAGTCAGTTTTTTTTTAAAGGATATAGTTGAAATACAACACAATAAAAAAATTTTTGGAGGTACAAATGTTTATTAATACTTTGTTCTTGTTTTTTAGTTAAAATGAATTTGACATCAAGTTATCTAATCAGTATTTTTTTGTATTCAGGAAATTCTTTAAATTATATCTAGCAAGGTATTATGTTTTAAAAAAAATATATGTTATAAAGAAATAATACCTTGCAGGTGGTCCGAAGAGACATTTGGTAGCGAAAAGAGAAAAAAATATAACGATAACGGGTTGTTTAATTCTCTTAACTATATTTTCCAAGATACTTTTTCTACTCATATACAGGGGCAACTTTTAATGGAAATAAATGGATTTATATCAAGTTACCGTAATAGAATTAGCTTTTGATTTTTTGTTGAGATTTTCAAAAAATGTAAATGTTTTATGAAACGTCACTAGATTTACTGTAAAAAGGTATGAGTGTTATTTGTCGCTATTACATTGTTCTGAAGAAATATGCATTTCAATTTTCAACTGCAGGTATACAGTTTTTTTTCGATGTTTAGTGTAGGGATCTGGGAAAGTAGCAGAGATATAAAAAAGCTTAAACGAGGAAAGATGTGCAGTTTTATTATCCTTATTAAATGTCACTTTTATTTTTTGATAAAACCTCACAGCTACCTAGATATTTGAAAAAATTCGAATATGACCAATTCCTTCAGATGCGTATAGCTCCATTGCTATTTATTTTACACAAAATTTTATAATTACAATGTTTCAGGTTTTTGCAGTGTTAGTAAGACAGTGTGATCAAATTGTTCGGGTACACTTTCGATTTCAAATTGTAACAGAAACTTCAAGTTTTTTAAATGTAAAGCAACCCTAACGTGTTTCTGAGACGTGTCTAAAAATCATTTTAATTTTTTCAACTTCAACACCCTGTATCCCGAAAACTAAATGTTTATGAGCAACATTGTATATGACTCTTCCCCATTAATTTTCGTCATAGAATTAACACATTCATTCCATTCGAAATTGCCGCTGTTATAGGGAAGGTGACATGACATCTGTTAAGTAGAGTGTTACTATCACTGTTTTTTAAATATTTTTGGGTAGGCAATTTTTTGAATTATTTTAAGAAGAAATGTTTATAAAAACGTCCTGAAATACAGGTTGTTAAAAGTTTCAAAATAATCTCATGTACGTTTTTGCAGCCAATCATTTGCAACCATTTGCAGTCACCACAATCACACATAAATGACCCACAATCTTTGACTGAACTATTGTACTAAGTCTTCTAACATTACAGGAAAAAATGTAGTTCTTCGACGTATCCGATTACAGATGTGCTAGTGCTGTCCATCTGTAATCAGGTAAAAAAAGGTGAAATCCAATGTGCTGCATATTTTGGTTTGCGTATGGACTACATAAATATAGATCCGTCGATTTGCAGTGGCATATTGTTAGTTCTGGCTCTTTAAATAGTAAAAGACATATAAAATATATTATATACATTTATATATTCTCAATGATTGAAAGAATATATTTTCTTGAGTGTCAAACAATAATTTAAAAAATATTGTTATTTAGATAATACAAAGTAATAAACCTCTTTTCCTCATTTTAGTTATATAGTCATACCTCAAATTAAAAGATATAGTTTATAAGGTGCATAGAGAGATATTAACCTTATTTTTGCTTATTCTCCCATATTAGGTGTTACAAAGTTGTAAACAATTCCTTTCTAATAACCCCAAAAGTAAAAGTCTTAACGGATTAAAATCCGGACAGCGAGAAGGTCAAGAAAAGTCACTACCTCGACCAATCCAACGGTTTAGAAATGCTTGATTTAAATGATCTCTCACCAATTGACTATAATGAGCAGGGGCACTTTTGTGCATGAACCATATTTGTTGTCTAGTATACTTTGAGAGGAAGTTCTTGCAGTTCAACCTTGCAGGTAGAGCGATAGGCCCCAAAATAAAATTTCCTATAGTCCCGCACCAGACAACTGAAAATTTGTGTTGGAAGTGATGCTCTTTTATTACGTGTGAATTTTCTTCGCTCCACACGTGAGAGTTTTTCCAATTAAAAACACCTGTACGGGTAAAACAGCTTCATCTGTAAAAGCAATTCTCCTGAGAAAAGTGTGATCCCTGTTATTTAACTGGAGAAATCGTTAACAAAATGTTCATCTCAGCGGGCGGTCTGGGTTTAAGAGATTTTGTACAGTGTGAAAATGGAAATTGTAACTGCTGCATGTGGAGCATAGTTAAAATGGTTTTGCCGTCAACTCCTGTGACTGCCGACAAACGATGAATACTAATTCCGGGATTTTCTTCTATTCTTTCTAGAATTTGTTCTTCGTCTTGTACCCTTCTTTGAATGTACCTTCCTTTTCGTGAATTAGACCAAAAGTTTCCAGTTTCTCCTAATCTAATGAATAAAGAAGCAAACAATGTATGTGAAGGCTGTCTGCGATTCGGATAAAGTTGTTGTAAAGTAGCACGTTCACTAAAATATTACTGTGCCACTATATATACCACTACCATGTCTCCTCATTTTCAAAATTCATAAATTCATTGTGACGAGGCATTTTCAGAAAAAAACTTTTGCCAAATACAAACTTGGTAGTGACTTATCGAAATTGTCATGTTGTTATGGATACGTACTTATTTCCAAAAAATATGGGGTATGTGTTAACACGTTGAAGGACAGTAGAAATTTTTGTAGGTTACCAATTTTGGCAGTACAGTTTTTTGAGAGATAACTGATTTTGAAGTATTACTAACTATTACTGTTACTAAAAAATAAGTGAGAACACATATTTTCGTAGTTTTTGACTACATTTATTTATGGCGCTGATGGACGTTCTGCTACAATAATAAGTGTTTAACTATCGCAAAACTGACACAACGCTGATATGCGTTCAACGCTGTACAGCATTGCGCCATATTACGACTGCAAAGAACATCATTGCCGTGGCACAACGCTGATCAGCGTAATTTGTTCTTGTTGAATTAAAAGTAAACACTTAAGAAAAACTGCTTTATTTTCAAAAACACATTACAGAATAGGTATTATTTAAACATTAAATAGGTTTCTTCATTTCATGCCACTCCTGAAAACATTCAGGACATAATGGTGGCTCCTCAACACAACCATTACACCGGTACCTTGTCTCCTTACGTATTTTTTTACTTCTACATAACCTGCATTTAAAAAAAAAAAAATTTTTGTTCGACTTTGGGGTTGGTTCACCAGGGTTTCTTTCAGGCCAGTGGCCTTGTGAACTTGGTCCAGGAATCACGTGCTCGGTTTCATAAGAAGCCTGCTCTGGACGTCGGTTGTCATGCTTTTGGCGCCGTATCAAATGTTTTGCTTCAATATTACTAGGTAGTTGAATTAGACTTTTTATCAATTCATCTCTAAAATGAAGAAATCGGTATTTTCGAGAGTTTCCCTTACAGAATTTTCGAGTCAAATAAAATGCATTCCACACTGTAACATCAAGCAAGTGAAAGAAAACCTTCTTGTACCAGCGTATTGTTTTTCTGGGGGTTGAGTAAGTCGCAGTCATTTGATCGCAGCGATCAATTCCTGACATGTGATCATTATATGTGGAAACTTCTATGGGTTTCATTTGTTCTTTTCCATAACGATTTTTCACTCTAATCATGTGAGGGTGATTTCGAGTAGTTATGACCAACACGTCCCGTTTGTCCCTCCATTTGGAAACATACACTTGTTTTCTGCGAACCCAAAAATGTTTGCCCTTCTTTAGTTTTCTTTGAACTAAATTTTTTGGATTACTTTTCCGATTGGTTCTTAGGGTTCCATTGGTATGAGTCTTACAATTTAGCAGCTTTTCGGACAACTCATAGCTATTGTAGTAGTTATCCATAAATAATTCATGGCCCTTCATGAGATATGGTTTCATCAGTCTCATGACGACAGCTTCGGTTTTAGTGTTATCTGATTCGTCATCCTCTTCTACAGGACTACTATATAATTCCATATTTAGAAGGTATCCGTCAGACGTCGTAAGCTCAAAAAATTTGAGTCCATATCGGGACTTTTTGTTCTTTATGTACACCCTGAACTTCAGTCTCCCACGAAAGTATAGTAATGATTCATCAATTGAAAGTTCCTTAGAAGGACCATAGGCACTCTGAAATTGCGATATTAGCATTTCTATGAGAAGTTGAATTTTATCTTTGCCTTTAGAATTGACTGGAGAACAACACAAAACCCTCAGTATTTGCTCGAATCTTCTAGCTGACATTATATAGGAAAAAATTGGGTGGAAGTACAATGTATCCGAATATGAAAAATAACGACGCATGTTTTTAGTAGAAACTTGGCCTTGTAACAGACACAACCCCAAAAATTTTTTCATTTCTTCATTGCTTATTGGGCGAAACCTTGCTTCTCTACTATGTCGCGTTTTAGGTCTATTAGTATTCATCAAAGCTATACCATAATTGTTTGTGCATTGGACTATGTAGTCCAATATATTTGGAGTGAAAAGACTTTCAAATAATTCCATTACTGTTGAACCTGGACCGATATTTATTTTCAAACAATTGCTGCTCTCATCGAAGTTGAAGTCAGGAATTGGAGCAGTGGTACTTTCCCATGAATCAGTATCGGAAGGAACTGGCGTAGAAGGCCTCGGTGAGGGTGGCGGAGAAGCCTCTGGAGAAACGACGCCGTTGTCAGGTAAAGGTTCAGAAGAATCTGAGGTTGTTTGTCGATTCGGTTCTTCCGGTATCAAAGATTTTTTGTTCTTACGAGCAAATCTTTTTTTTCTTGATACAGTGGATTTATCTGAGTCAATCGATGACGTA